GATTGATGAAATAAGGTTTAGATTAAATTTAACATTTATCTAGTTCATTGTTCATTATTTTTTGTGGATTTTGGCTATTTATACCATCAACAAAAATTAGTTTTGCTAGTTTTGGCGAATTTTATGGCCAATGTTTTTTTTAATATCTTTCAATATAATGTCCAGCTATAACTATATTGTCATAGGCCATCAAACTGTTCGTTCGATATTGCATATAATTATATTGTTAAAAAAAATTGAATTTCACGCTTAAAAAAATAAAAGAGCCAGCTTGAGCCAAAAAAGCCCAAAACCATTTTTTACCCAAAGCCGCGACCTTCGGCTCGTTTACATTCCTAGGTGTTTTTAGTTGCTTGGGCTCCATTATACCACGTTACAATCGGAGAAATATTAAATTTTTAAAGAGCGTGTGGTTAAAAAAAAATGAAATTTTTTTTATGTTTATGTGTTATATTATTTTATTGGAGAATGTGTAGTCGATAAAAAGATAGAGAAAAATAAATTTTAATTTAATGGGGTCAAATTTTAAATTTTCAACCTGCACTGGTTCTTCGTGGATAGCCCAAGTTCCTACAAGGGGTTGATTGCCCAATTCACATATAATAATACTACTTGTACTTGATAAATTTATATACAAATAAAATGTCAAAAAGAGAGTGAATTTATTTTTATTTGATTGAAGAAATTTTGAACCAATTATATCTCATCACATCGTGTGTATATAAATCATTATAATCATGTAGCACACCCGATCCACAAATATCCAAGTTTAGTTACTTAATTTTAAATATTTTTTAATTCTGAGAATCCTGCATTTTTTTATTTTAAATTTCTAGTAACACACTAGCATGTAATATTATGTAACATATATTTCATCACCTATTTTTATGATCAATATCAAATAAAAGATAATCCCCCAATGTCAGCAAGAATTTGATGGGTTGAAATTGCAAGTGAACAATATCGTCAACATAGTCAAATGGATCCAACGAGTCCAAATTATTGTTCCACGAAGACTATTCTACTCAATTATTGATTTTAACAAAGCAAAATTTCAACAGATTGATTTTAATTATTCTACTAATTCTAAACTAAGAAACGATTAAAAATGTCGTGTGGTTAACGTTGTTGGCAAATATTCACGTCGTGTATTCTAAACACACCATCTCTATGTAAATTTTAATATAATTAGGAATTCTAATCCACTAAAAAGTTCATGTGAATATTGCAAATTATATCTGTATCTCCTAACTAAATTATCGATTTTTTATTTTTTGGTCTAATTTAGTAACTCACCTCTTGATTATTTCTTGTTCACAAATCAATTAATTACTAACAGGAATTACCTGAATCAAACAGAATCGTTGACGTTGTAAATTGTATGAACAAAATTCAAGCCAACTTAAAATGCAAACAAGAGTTTCCTTGATTGTAAGTCATAGGTTACAAGAATCATATATCAATAATCCCTTTTTTCTTTTTAAGGAGATATTGAAATATGAAATGTATGAGTATTTTTCAGTGAAAGTGTCGTCGTCTCCTTTTCTTTCCCTCCCTCCTTTTATAGGTAGAAATTTGTATGTATCCTTCATTTGCTATCTTATCAGCTACAATACCGAATGGGAAGGCACACTACTGGCACGTTTGGATTGGTTAACGAGCTCGGCTTGTCAAGTCATCATGAGTTTAAACTTACAGGTGGTCCCCGCCAATTAATGAATTACTTAGGGAAGGAAGATAGAGCATATGNACAATTAATGAATTACTTAGAGAATAAAGCAAAAGCACATGATTGGTAGACTTGGCGGGCATCGATGTAAGATCGTCCATATGCCACTTACTAATTGACTGCTAGTACAATGTGTAAGAAATCTTCAATCATTATGTTCCCTTCGACCTCCATAAACTACATAATTCGAGCTGACCTCATATACCGAACTCACATTAGCACAAGCTTATCGCATACACCAAACTGCACTTATCGACATCGGATGTTGGATGTCAACAAGAATAATAAAAAATGGTAAACATCAATAAACAAAAACAATATCTTCAATAATCAAAATCAAGGTTTAACTTAAGCTATATTGTTCGTCTTAATTGTGAATTTAGTCAAAAAAAATCATAACAAAATGAGAAAAATACAAATCAGAATAACAGTACATCATCGGGTTTTCGAATAAAAAGAGAATTATTTATACTCAATGATAAGTATAAAACTCATATTTATACTGTTCTAATTCCATTAAAATTCGTGCGTGAAAATAATCCCTTTTGATTTTGAACAAATGTAGTCCACAATGGATTCTTAAAACAAGGTAGAATTTGGGAAGCAGCGGTTAAAGGGCGCGGGCCCCACTCACATAACACCATTTTTCCTCTATAAATTGCACTTTCAGCCCTCAAACTTCTTTTCAACTTCTAATTGAGTTTTCAAACTTTTTCCGACTCCCAATTTAGTCATTTAATCCATCCTACAAAGACGAGAACGGTTAGACCAAGAGCTTGTTAGGGAGAGATTTTTTGGGGAAAAATTGATTTTGAATAGTGATATGATGGGAAATGTGTGGTTGAAAAAGAAGAAAAAATTATTGATGTGATGGAAAATATTATTTTATTGAAGAATGTGTGGTTGAAAATGAGAATTAATTTACTGTAAAAAA